TCAACGCAAATCAGTGAAGGAGAAAAAATACCCGTTTGAAAAATTTTATAAAAGAAACAAATAAACTTTTTTTTTTTTTTTTCAAATTTTTTGCACTTTTTTTAATTTATAGCGCAAAAAGTAAAGCGCCCAGTGGCGATTAAATACCACCAAAAGAAAGCTCTATTTGTGAGAAAAAAATGATCAAAATTTCATATGGGTACAATGTTGCATGACCGCGCAATTGTCAATCAAAGTGCGGCAGCGCTGAAAGCTGAAAATTGGCCTGGTAAGGAAGGGGGTATAAGTGCCTGGTAGGCAAGTGGTTAAGAGTTCCCTTCACTGGAACCAAGGGGCCAAGCCCAACCCCTGAAAAAACACCCCCACCCCATAATCCCCCCTCCACCAAACTTTACACTTGGCACAATGCAGTCAGGCAAGTACCATTATCCTGACAACCTCCAAACCCAGACACGTCCATTGAATTGCCAGACAGAGAAGCATAATTCATCACTCCAGAGAACACGTCTCCACTGCTCTAGAGTCCAGTGGCGGCGTGCTTTACACCATGGCATCCGACGCTTTGCATTGCACTTTGTGATGTAAGGCTTGGATGCAGCTGCTCGGCCATGGAAACCCATTCCATGAAGCTCTCTACGCACTGTTGTGCTAATCTGAAGGCCACAGGAAGTCTGGAGGTCTTTAGCTATTGACTCTGCAGACAGTTGGTGACTTCTGCACACTGTGCGCTTCAGCATGCGCTGACCCCGCTCTGTCATTTTACGTGGCCTACAACTATGCGGCTGAGTTGTTGTTGTTCCCAGTTGCTTCCACTTTGTTATAATACCACTAACAGTTGGCCGTGGAATATTTAGTACCAAGGCACAGGTGGCAACCTATCACGGGACCACGCTTAAATTGAGCTCCTGAGAGAGACCCATTCTTTCACAAATGTTTGTAGAAGCAGTCTACATGGCCAGATGCTTGATTGTATACAACTGTGGCCATGGAGGTGGTTGGAACATGAATTCAATGATTTGGATTGGTGTCCCAATATTGTTGGCAATATAGTGTGTTGTATGTATATACAGTATCTCACAGAAGTGAGCACACCTCTCACATTTTTGTAAATATTTAATTCTAACTTTTCATGTGACAACACTGAAGAAATGACACTTTGCTACAATGTGATGTAGTGAGTGTACAGCTTGTATAACAGTGTAAATTTGCTGTCCCCTCAAAATAACTCAACACACAGTCATTAGTGACAGGTCCTCTTTATGGAGAGATATTATTATACAAGATTTAGTCAATAAGACCCCACATCTCTCCTCTGCAATGTAAAGCATTGGATCAAAAAAAGCATTGATCTAGTGCTTAAAAAAAAATGGCAGGAACCGGAAGTGACATCGCTCCAGTCCTCCAAGTGCAGCCAATGAGATATGAACCTATTAGGAGATGGGGAATGTGATGTGAAGGATCTGAATCATGGCACAAACATGAGATCCAAACCTCTGTTGGAAGAATCTTTTACTGACTGGAACTCCATTTTAATTCAGTACCCTTGGTGTATAGCTATAAAAAAATGATAAATACCCCCCCTTTTCATTTTTTTTTTTTTTAAGTGATCACATACCCTCTGTTCTCAGCTGCATAGAGAGGTGAGGGTGGAGAAACAGCCATACACTAGTCTTTCTAGTTAATGGCTGTGTGGGGGTGTGTGGAGGGTGGGGTCAGGATCATTGGAGGAGAGCAGGCCGAGTTTCCAGCATAACTAGAGAGCTGACCACGTTGTGCTTGGATGGCCATTGTGGTCAGTTTTTGATAGGAAAGCAGAGGGACTGGCAGAAACACCAGGGATTTCACACACTAAAAGCAATACAAAGAGAACAGGATACTTTTTCCATACAAGAACATGGTACAGCAGGCGCATATCAGGAAAGTGAAATGTTGGGTTGACATATTCTTTCAGTGATTTCCAGCTTCCAGGAGGATTGGCCAGGTAAGGTATATACAGAACTACATTGGTCCAAGGTGGGCCATTATAACTATGTATAAAAGGTCCATACCTGAAATTCTTTTAGAGAAAAATACAAATCTATAAAGCATTCCTGATGGTTTATTTTTTCTGTTCTGGTTGACAGACACGTGAGGGATGGATGTAGTCTACAGACAGGCTGCGTGTAAACAAACCAATATTTACAGAGGCCTGGGTCTATGATGACAATTCACAAAGCAGAGATGGGTATCCGCAAAGTTACTTAGTGCTCCTTAACCCCTTGACGCTGACATCACACAAATATGCGGCCTCACAGAACTGGGCTTTTTTCCGTGGGGCCGTATATTTACGTACCTGTCTTTCTGCTGGGAGCGAGCCACACAGCGCGCTCCCAGCACAAAGACCGCGGTGTCACTGAGAGCCCTGAGTCCCATTCTAACAACTGGGACCCGAGACTCCCAAATCCGGGTCACAGGATTGCTGTGATAGCCTCTGATTAGTTATCACAGTGATCAGTCACTGTACAGCCTGGCCCCCTTGTTTTTTATTTTTTTCCTCTCTATGAATGGAGGAGAGAGATACATTGTATTTTTCTAACCCCTGGCATAGAGGGAAAAAAAATAGTTTGTTAAAAAAAATAAATTTATTTTGAAAAAATAAAAGAAAAAATACCTAGATCAAGGTTTGATCTAGTTCAGTGCCAGGGTAAATGTTTGGGTCAAGGTCAGGGTCAAGATCAAAAGGTCATGGTCAAAGATCAGGTTTTGTTTTTTTAAATTGGTATCAGTGTCAGTGTGCTTTAGTGGGCTGTACTGTGGGTACAAACAACTAATAATATACACATATTATTATTATTATACAGTATTTATAAAGCGCCAATGGTTCGCTCAGCGCTGTACATTACAAAGGGGGACAGAACATGTGACAGAACAATACCAATACAATGCAAAACATGAGGGGATCGAGGGCCCTGCTCTTTTGAGCTTACAATCTAGGAGGGAGGGGATGGTGGCACAGGAGGAGATAGCTGTGGGGGATGGGAGTGGTAGGAAGAGTGGAGGAGGTCTGCAAGTTAGCAGGGGGTGGGGTAGGCTTCCCTGAAGAGATGGGTTTTCAGGGTGCGCCTAAGGGAGAGGAGAGTAGGTGATAATCTGATGGGTTGGGGCAGGGAGTTCCAGAGGATGGGTGACACCCTGGAGAAGTCCTGGAGGCAGGCGTGGGAGGAGGAGACCAGGGAACTAGAGAGAAGGAGGTCTTGTGAGGAGCGGAGTGTGCGTGCTGGGCAGTACTTGGATATTAGGTCAGTGATGTAGTTCGGGGCAGTATGGTGGACAGCTTTGTACGTCAATGTTAGGATTTTGAATTTGATCCGTTGCGCAATCGGAAGCCAGTGGAGAGATTGGCAGAGGGGGGTGGCGGAGATGGAGCGGTTGGAAAGGTGAATGAGTCTGGCAGCCGTATTCAGGATCGACTGAAGCGGGGATAGCCAGCGGCGAGGCAGGCCAGTGAGGAGGCCATATAAGGTATCGTTGCGATTGTCAAGAGCTGGAAAATTTATTTTGAGTTGTTCTTAGGTTGGTAAGTTATTATGGTAGTAACAAGAAACACACAGCTACCGTATTTTTCGCCGTATAAGACACACTTTTTCTTCCCCAAAACTGGGGGGGAAATGTCAGTGCGTCTTATAGAGTGAATATGGAGTGGCCGGTCCGGTATTTCCACCGCGGCCGTGTCAGAATACCGGGCCGGCCGCTCAGCTCTGCAGCGGGACCTTACCTGTTCCTCTATCCAGCGGCGCGCTGTCTTCCCGGCTTCTGTAGTGTGGGCACTGGACATGACAGCCGGGTGCCAAGTGCGCATGCGCAAGAAGCGGTGCTTTTTGTGAATGGTAAGGCGGTACCTGGGACACATGACAGATCCCAGAAGCCGCCGGACCAATCACAAAGCGCAAGTGCTTCTCGCTCATGCGCACTGGGCACCCGGCTGTCATGCAGAGCACCATTACAGAAGCCGGGAAGACAGCACGCGGCTGGATCGAGGAACAGGTAAGCTCAAACTAAAACTCTGCGGAAGTAAGAGCGGGTACCTGTCAAATTCAGGTACCCGCTCCCCACCTCCCCAAAGGTCAGCAGTCATCTGTACTGTCCGCAGTCTCTGGTCATCTCCTGTGCTGTCCGCAGTCTCTGGTCATCCCTGTGCTGTCCGCAGTCTCTGGTCATCCCTGTGCTGTCCGCAGTCTCTGGTCATCCCTGTGCTGTCCGCAGTCTCTGGTCATCCCTGTGCTGTCCGCAGTCTCTGGTCATCTCCTGTACTGTGTCTGCAGTCCATTAGTTCAGAATTTTTTTTTCCTGTTTTCTGCCTCTAAAACCTAGGTACGTCTTATGGTCAGGTGCGTCTTATACGGCGAAAAATACGGTAAATTAAAAAAAAAGATTTTTTTTATTTTTTTTTTTTTTATTTTGGGCCAGTTTTCCTTTTATAATAAAAAAAAAACAAGCAATCAGGAGATATCCATTACCATTTACCACCAAATGAAAGCCCAATTGTCCTGAAACAAACGCGGTATAATTCACCTGGATGTACAAAGTAGTTGTGATGATATGTACGGTTTTACACATGTCAATGTTGCAAAATTGTGCTTAGATTTGTTTTACCCTTAGGCGTGAAGGGGTTAATATCATGTATTTTAAACGTATAGTCACCCTTTATTGTTCATAGCACTGTAAATGTCATCTTTGTCAAGATACTTGCAAATAGTCCAATATGTCTAAAGAAAGTGTGAGTATGTAAGGTTTCCTACTTGAGTACTAAAACAGATTATGTTATAGGTAGACCCATTTTGCATGCATTGTGGAATATTCTGGCAAGCGCACTGGAACTGGCGTAGATTTCTTCACGTGTCAGATATTTTGTGGCAGGTTTAACAGATTGACTTTAGAAAATGATACAAAAAGGTGCCAGTCCTCCAGCACATTGTGTGCATTCTGGTTTGTGATCAGTGCAAGGTCCAGTTTATACTCACAGCGGTTGGGTCCTTCCTATGAAGTACGGCTGCAGTGACTTGTTTGAAACCTCCAGGATAACTGGATAGAAAAAAAAGAATGTTATAAATTTGTCCCCTGCAAGCATTCCATTTCTAGGCAGGAATATATAAAATTTACATAAATACCATACTTGCTTTATATTGCTGGATTTTTTGCAATTAAATGTTTTATTATGATATCTTCAAAAAAAGCAGTCAAGTCGTCTCTTGAAAAAGCTACAGTTGTCCCCTGATCTCTTTCCCTTGCCCACTGAAAAAGTTATCTGCTTCTTAAAGCTGAATTCCAGGAATTCAGCTGCTTTGTAAAAAGTAAAGGCACTCTAAGTTAAATCCAAGGAGGTGCATGACATTTCCAGGACTCATCTCTATTATTTATACCTGACAGGTTTATAGTACTCCTGGAAAACAGCTTACGCTGTATTTCTGGGAGCCTGATGCTGATCCTTCTGATCACTGCATCTTCAACAGTAGGGTCGCTGCAACTGCGATGCCCACCCCTCCCCTCCTCCTGCCCAGTCACAGAAGCTGTGGTATTATGTGAGCACATTCACAAAATACAAAGGCTTCTGTGAATGGCAGCAGAGGGAAGGGGCAGGCATAGCTGCTCTGTGTGCTGCCCTCCTCTTAGATCCCGAAGTGTCTCTCCAGCCCAGTAATAAACCTGTGAAGTGTAAACAATAGACATAACTCCTGGAGATGTCATGCATCAAGTTGGATTTAACTCATAGTGTGCCTTCGCTTCCTGGAATGCAGCTTCAAGTTGGCCATACACAGTTTGAATTTTTTTCGTTCAGCCTGCAGGCTAAAGAACAGTCTAATAGATTTCTCCATTCATGCTATATAAAAAAGATGTATACATTTATTACTGTGGCCATTGTATTCTAAAGCTGGCTGTACATAATTTTTTTTTTTTTTTTTTTCAACTTGCGAGTTGAACAAAAGACAATGACTCGATTTCCCCATCCACAACAGCTCCTGCTACGTCAATGTATTCTGAAAGAGAGGAGACTTCCGCGGCAACCAGAATACACTGATCAGCACTGTCGGCTATAGCTGGCGGTGTTGACCGAAAGAAAATTTTCCAACAGGCTGGTTGTACACAAGTCAATCGATAGATCAATTTGTGTACAACCAGCCTGTCTGTCCATGCATGGATCAAAGTTTGGTCAGTTCCCAATGAACCAGCCAAACTTCAACCCATGTATGGCCGGCTTTACAGCCGACACTAGCAGCTGTCAGAATACCCAAACAGTGTGCATCTAATTGGGTTATAATTTCCCATTCAACTCCTTCAATTTGAGGGATGTTGAGCGAAAACGTGGCAATAGGGCCACCCATATAACAAATTTTATCCAGTTCTTCAAGAACTCACAAAAATTCTCAGAGTATGGCCAGCTTTTTCGATTTATGACCAGCTATCAACTGAAACAGACAATCAGAGAACAACAATGAGGAGAGGACATCTCTTGCTGCTTTCTAAGGATTACCTAGGCTGAACTTTAGACAGCCAACCAAATTTCTTGCCCTTTGTGTAACAGGTAGCCTTTAATTACTACATTCTATCCCAAAATAATTCCACAGCTGGTACGTTAATATATCGCCGCATGTAATCTTGGAAATGCATGTTAATTGAATAGGTGACACGTACCCAGTGTGCGAAGAGTAAACTTTCTGTTCCCACTTATTCCCAGAGAAGGCGATGTGCCGAGTGTTCTTCACTACAACGTGGTCTCCGCAGTCACCTGCACAAATCACAAAATCTGTTACAACAGAATGCAAATTCAGAAACTGTTGAATGTAACTTCTACGATCTATAAGATTCTTATGGATATGGAAGGTGCTTACCCCCCTCAGTTCCTGGAAAAATGGGAGCGGGAGTTGGGATCATAGTTGAACAAGCAACAGAGGAATAGTATATTTAAATTAGCACACGAGGTAACAAATATGAGCATGGTTGAAATGGATTATAAATGCATGGTTAGATGGTATATTACACCGAGTAAAGCACATAAACAACAAGTAGTTGTCTCACCTTTATGTTGAAGAGGAAGTGGGGAAAGGGGAACAATGGCACACATATGGTGGGAATGCCCGAAGAAACAAGATTACTGGGAGAGAATATTACAATATATCTAGGAGATATGTGGGATTACTGTACAGAGAGATCCATGGACTTGTCTATTTTATAAATTCGAACTTGAGGTAAAAATACATAAGAACAGGATATTATACCATCCAGTCAGTGCGGCTAAGGACTTGATTCCCAAAATTTGGCTTGCCCCAGATCCACCAAGTATGAGGGACTGGGTAAATAGGGTAGAAAATATCTTTAGGATTGAGGAGTTGTGTCATATTGAGGTGGATACAATTGAAAAACTTAGGAAAATGTGGAGTAGTTGGCTGGTGATCTTTAAAACATCTAAAACAGTGGTTCGCGACCCCTTTGGGGGTCGAACGACCCTTTCACAGGGGTCCCCTAAGACCATCAGAAAACACATATTTTCGATGTGTAAAGAGCAGCTACTGTGTAGAAAGCAGCTGCTGTGTTGAAAGCAGCTACTCTGTTAAAAGCAGCTACTGTGCTGCAAGCAGCAGTATTGGAGGTAAAACGACACTCATGAATTATAATTACTGGGTAAATAATTTTATGGTTGGGGGTCACAACAACATGAGGAACTGTATGAAAGGGTCACGGCATTAGGAAGGTTGAGAACCACTGATCTAAAAGATACCTAGAATTGGTTGGAATATAGGTGGATGAGCATTGGGGGGAGCTTTAATGGAGTGCCCGACAGAGAAAAGGAATACAGACATAGATAGATAATCAGGAGAAAGGTTAGGAACTAGGATAGTGGCGTGGATTAGGGACTGGAGGGAGGGTTGGAGATAAGATGATATGATGCAATTGGGAAGTACGGGTGTAGTTTTCTTGTTATTTGGGGGGGGTGTGTGTGTATTTGATGTTCTTTGTGTATAAAAAAATTTTTTTTTATAAAAGCCACAACTCTGCTCCAAGCTACATCACCAACCTGGTCTCAAAATATCAACCAAACCGCTCTCTTCGATCCTCTGAAGATCTGCTCTCTAGTTCCCGTGTCACCTCCTCCCATGCTAGCCTCCAGGACTTCTCCCGAGCTTCTCCCATCCTATGGAACTCTCTACCCCAACCTCTCTGGTTGTCTCCTAATCTATCCACCTTTAGACAATCTCTGAAAACCTTTCTCTTTAAAGAAGCCTATCCTGCTTCTACCTAGTAAACCGCCATTTATTTCCTCCATCAGGTCATCCCCCCACAACTATTACCTTTTGTATCACTCAACCCTTCCTCCTAGATTGTAAGCTCTAACGAGCCGGGCCCTCTGTTTCCTCTTGTACCAAATTGTATTGTAACTGTAATGTCTACCTTCATTTTGTAAAGCGCTCTGCAAACTGTTGGCGATATAAATCCTGTATAATAATAATAATAAAAAATACATTAAAAAAAAAAGAGAAGATAATAATTTTTTTTTTTCCCAGAAAGTTTTGACCTTATCACAATTATCAAATCGCATGGCTCATGGGGTCCTCGGTCTTAAGCAGAGAATACATGTACAGTTTTTTTTGTTCAGCCAGTGGGTTGAAACTAACAGAACCCCAGAAGCAGTAAGGATGCAGGGATGCTGTGCTATTATATTCTGACAGCGGGGAAGGGGGGTGGGCTATCCCATCAGAATACACAGATCAGTGTTGCAGCCATTGGCAGCTGCAGCTAGCCTCTCACAAGTATCAAAAACAGCAAAAGAAATCAGCAGATTCCTGTCCCTGCCATTTGTACTGGACAAACTCTCTGTACGAACTTAGCCCAATTCACATGAAATGAAGGTACACGCATTGCAATTTTTTTGTTTTTGACAGAGCCCCATGATTCAAGTATGAAGATACACGGCAATATTCTAGAATCCCAGAGCTTAGCTTTAAATCACTTTTGGCAGTGAGCGGAGTACAATAACTAGAAAGCATAAAACATGATGAACTGCGATGTGTAGATGTGTATTACCCCGAGACAAGCTGAACAGATTTGCCTGATGGCGATCTCCATTCTTATCATACCAGTAACAAGGCTGGGGAGGACTGAGGAGTTTAACTCTCAGATGTACAAATTGGCCAGTATTCTGATCCTACCACCCAACACAGATCTATGTACAACCAGACGTGGACCACATACAGCGAGAGATGTGTATCTATGGAATATGGGCACTTACTAAATGCCTATTATGTTCACACGCATTTGCTGCAGGGGAGATAGAAAAGGTTTAAAGGGAACCTGTCCTGGGAACAACATGCAGACTGCTGCTGCTGAACTTTTCTTTTAGAAAAGTTCTGTCTGACTGTCACTTTAACCCTCTGCCTTTAATATACTCAATCAGTCAACGACAATCATGCAAATAAAGAGAGTCTGGGAAAAGTCTAAATCCTTATCTGTCTGTGACTTGGGAAGTATTGAAGCCAGAAACAGCCAGGCAAGGAGCATCTTCAGAAAAAGGTCAGCAATGGAAGGTTTATGTAAAAACTCCAGCCAATCCTTTTTGGTTATATATAAAGTGGGAAAAGCTGTGTCAGCTTTTCATTGCCGTCTGTGTCTCTGATGAGAAGCTATACCCTTTTGCAGTGTCACAAGAACAGGAAGTGATAGAATGTCGCTGTAAAGGGGACAACCACTCCTCCTCAATGCTTGTCTTGGTGTCACCAGGGTAGGAAGTAAGGGGAAGTCTCCTCGTAGAGGTACATACTTATAAAAACTTGATAGAACTATGACTAAGACAATTGACTGTTAAAAGCCTAGACACTTGGGTCTAGGTCAGGGGTAGGCAACCTGCAGCTCTCTAGTTGTTGTGGAACTACATTTCCCACGAGGCATTGCAACATTACAAAACTGACAGTTACAGCTATGACTTGCAGAGGCATGATGGAACTTGTAGTCCTGCAACAGCTGGAGAGCCGCAGGTTGCCTACCTCTGGTCTAGGTTGATCTGAAACTGGTTGATCATCTAAAGCACATGTGCCAAACTGGTGGCCCCCCAGTTATTGCCAAACTACAAGTCCCATGAGGCATTGCAAGATTGACAGTTACAAGCATGACTCCCAAAGGCAGAGGCATGATGGGAATTGTAGTTTCACAACAGCTGGAGGGCCGCCAGTTTGACACCCGTGATCTAAAGTAAAGATAACTTTTTGGCATGTATTAAAGTGGTTGCAAACCTCAGACATGAAATATGAACAAGGCATATCCCTCTATAGTGTGTACTTTTCTCCATTCAGAGTACTAAGTGTAATTTCTGGCTGCTGTCCCATTCCTCTGCTATAAGCATGAGTCATTTCTGACAAGTTTTCCTGACACCAAGAGGAAAAAGGTGACAGGGGAGGGACCTTCAGCAGATTGACAGCCCCAGCTCTGTTCCTGTGTGCTGGGTGAAGGGAGTGTATCCCATCCCTCTTATCAGCTCTCAGAGCTCCCCTCATTTATATAACTTCAGCTCCCCGCCCCCTGCTTTTCAGAACCTGGAGATCCTATGTAAATTCTGCACTTTGAATGGATGTAGGGGAAAGACAGCTATAGACAAACAGGTACAACTTACGTAGGAGGATTTGTTTAATCTCTGTGTATCACTTGAGGCCAGTCACTTCACTGGGTATATGTGAGTGTTTAAAATCACTTTAAATTCATTTATGTCTAATCAATAAAATGGTGCAAAGAGTAAAGCTCTAAAGCTGTCCATACAGTTGGAGATTTCTAATAGCACAGATGGACAACCCCCTCCTCCTGCTGGTTTTTTGTATTCTGACAGCCAGGACCACCAGCTGTCAGAATACCTGAACAGTGCCTTCATCTGACAATTTTACAAGTTCCTTCCACAAAAGACAATTAAACTATCGAATCTGTTGATAGGGGTGGTGCCTGCAGGCCATACACTGCTCAAATTTTGGCTGGGCCAGCAGGAATCGGCTGAAATTGGGCAAAGTAAGGATAGCTTAAAGGGTACGTTCACCTTTTCACAACAGATGAGCATTGTTGTACACTGTCACCAAATCCAACCCCCGTTCCCTGCTGCACTTATCTGAGTGGGTGATGAGCGGTCACTGCTCACACAGTTGGTGCATCAGTCTGGGCATTTGAACGCCCCATGATAGATCAGAGTGATTCTGATTGGTCAAAGTGGTCATGTGCCATTAAGTGACCAATGCACCGGCTGTGGAGGTATTGACAGCTAATCTCCCATGGAGGTAAGTGCAGCAGGGAGTGGGGGAGGGTGTAGGGCATTGGGTCACTAAGAGTACTTACACTTTAGGTGTGTAGTGCTTTAATAACTAATCAACATGAATCTAATGATGATCGGACATTAGTAAAGTCGATGCTTATCGGTTCCTGCGCTCATTCAGCACTAATGCTGCCAATATAAGTGGCAGGTTTTAGGCAATTCAAACATTGTATAATTGCACTATAAAATATTAAGGACAATTTTAGGTTTGCTACTTCCACTAATAAAGTACCGGTAGTTATAAATGCAGAAAGTTTTTTTACCTTAAAGTGTTACTAAACCCCAGACCCTGCATTCACTATATCCTCACCCCCATACCCTGCATTCACTATATCCTCACCCCCATACCCTGCATTCACTATATCCGCTCTCCCCGGACCCTGCATTCACTATATCCGGTCTCCCCGGACCCTGCATTCACTATATCCGCTCTCCCCGGATCCTGCATTCACTATATCCAGTCTC